GTAACAAAGGCACTACTAGTAACAAGAAGCTAGTAGGAACAAGGGCATCGCTACTAGTAACAAAGGCACTACTAAGTAACAAGAAGCTAGTAGGAACAAGGGCATCGATACTAGTAACAAAGGCACTACTAAGTAACGAAGCTAGTAGGAACAAGGGCATCGATACTAGTAACAAAGGCACTACTAAGTAACAAGAAGTTACTAGGAATATAATTCATTCCACCCAATTGTCGTTGGGCGGGCCGCGCAGACCGTTGAGGTTCCGGCGACCTGAGGGCGTCTCGCAGAAGGCCGCGTCGAGTGGAGTCGCCACTGGCGTGGCGTTGGATTTATCGTGGACACATATCCAGAGGTATCCACCTGTGAAAGAAGCCTTGAGAGGCAGTTTGCCGAATTGTTTGGAGAATTGCTAGCTCTAGACATGGACAGGACTTGGAGCATTTCCTTCGAAGCTACTGCGCCGAAGAGGAGAACATACCAGAACTGAAGGGGAGTAATTTTGTAGAAAATCCAGATATGATCCGATCATTTGGTAGAATGTTTTCAATCACTTGATGTGACTGCAACCTTGAGTGACTGATGTGACTGTAGGTTTCACCAACCTCACCGCCGTTTTCGGTCTCCTTTTGGCATCAGGACGAGATGGATTTGCCCTCCCTGCTCAGAGAAACGCTGGTCTTTGAGCCGTTGACCTGGAGCCTTGGAGGAAAGGCAGAAAGGCCACGACATGCGGGGAGGGTGCTGCTTTTGTGCTTAGGGCCCCGTTTGGAAATAAAGCGTTTTGGGCGGCTCAAGGTGTGCAGGTCCGGTCAAGACTGTCAAGAGTCAAGACACGATTTATTGCAACGTCCCAAGAAGGAGGAGCCAATAATTCCTTTGCTTTTCTCCCACCGCTTGCCTCACACCTGAGGCTTGAAGCCTTCGTTTTCTTCTTGGCACTGCCGCAGTACAAGCTGGAGGAGTGGGATATGGACTTGCAGCCACAGTCACGACATGACCTGGAAACAAATAGGATTCCTGGCGAAAAGGGACCCTTTAGCCCGATAACTGGTTTGTGTAGTTTGCCAGTCAGACTGGATCGGCTGTCAGGATCTCCCGAAATGGCAGCAACTGGCTGAGCATCGTTGGGAGATGTATCAGCAGACGCGTTATCGATTGCTTCCCGAAGCGTGAGGTCACAGATTTTCCGATGTGTGCGGAGATTCAAGGATTAGATTGACCACCGCCAGTGTTGAAGATTCTGCCATTGAGTGGCAGAGGTTTAGGGAAAGAAGGCTCGTGAGATCTTGTGAGCTTAGTAACTGAGACGCTTTAGAGGCATATACAGTACAATATATTATAAGTATTCAATTTCAACAATTAACATGATAACACATGATGATGCGGTGTTTTGAGGTCTAATCTAAGTTCGGTTTGGTTTGTATTTTCATGATGCATGCTCTTGAAGGAATCTCTGCACTGAGAAGTTTAAGTGCCACGACATTTGGTTTGATGCAACATTGGGCAACATCCAACCACTCTTGGAGCAAGACATTGACGTTCCGCCCAATGTTTTCGCAGCCCTTAAGTGTTGGCACAATCCGTGATGTCCTTACCTGGGCATCTTGCTCTGCAAATCTAAGACAGATGCGATTGGGCAGAGGTGCCATCGAAGATGGACCCTCTGGATTTTATGGGAAATCAGGGAGCCAAGGTCGATGTCATGGGTGGGGTTTAGAGATAGGTATGTGTGTGTTTCCTTTTTTAATGGTTTATTAAATATGATATACGTATATTACGTATATATTTACTTTTAAAGTTTTGGATCCTTTTCAATCAGCTGTCCATGTAAAGTTAATGAATATAGTATTTGCTTAGGCTCTTGGGGGATTTTGTCTACAATTACCTACATGCACATGGCAATGGTCCTGGTCCCTGTTGGCGAGGCTCTGTTGCAGAAAAGGATGCGCTTGAGGGGTGGGTACCTTGATGGATGGGCATTTGTGACTAACCCTACTACAGGTCTGAAAGAGTGTGCAGATATTTTGAGTTCCACACCTTTTGTGGGAAGTCCATGGATCTCTGCAGTGGTTCAGCCCACCGTGTGAAGGAGAAAGAGTTCAACTGGGCCATTCAGGAGCAGTAGACAAACCATGTAGGTGCATCCACATACCAACACCTCTACAAACAGTTGAGTCCCATCGCGATTGGCGCAGGTCAGCTTCCGACTGGCCGTCACTGCCCGATGTGGCGGAAGTCCCAGATGGGATCCGATGGAGGATGTTTTTGCAAAAACACACAACAGCAACAGTTTCTTTAACTAGCTCGATGTTTTTGCAATGGAATTTGCTACGAGCTAGCTAGTTAAGCAAATGCACGGATTCTGATCCACAAGATGTAGCGAAGGGATGGCAGACATCAAATCTGGTTCCTGGACGGAGACTAACTTTGAATTTGTTGAGAAGGAATACATATATATATATATATACACCCATCAGCCACTAGAAGAGTATCACTCACATCGTCGAGTCGTTTGTAAAGGCGGGTTCAGAAGCTTGCCCACAAATGAGCAACTGTCAAAACACGATAGTGAGATGATCTCACGAGATGTGAAACACACTGGAGAAGACCCGTGACTTGAAACACTTCAATTTTAAGAATTTTCACTTTGCAAAAATAAAGCTTTCTAGTAACTAAAAGCTTCCTTGGGAATCATTTCACCTGTAGTAACAATAAAGCTTTCTAGTAACTAGAATTGCTGTTGCGCAATTTATCGATCTAATGGCCAGCATAGCAGCATCGAAGCAACCGTTTGAAGCTGAGCTTCAATACCTTGCAGCCTTCCACAGACTGTTTGGTTGCTCAAACATGCTCAAACCGTATTCTCACCCAGCTGCATCCGGCAAAGGTGCTGCTGCAGGCAGCAGCCCTACTCGGACCCAGAGAGGCATGGCAAGCCATGAGATGACTTGGCCGTTGATATCGGTTGATGATTTGTTGGGGATTATTTGGGCAAACCATCTGGGATAGAGATGGTTGATCCCTGATGTTCTTCGCAATGAAATGAGATCCGCTTCTGCTCTGGAACACGTCGCCGGGGTGTCAGGGGTTCTGCTGACTCGTTGAATCTCGGAGAAATTTCGAGACCTGAAGACATTAAATTAAACACTTAATAATAGCTTCTACTAGCTTCTTGTTACTAGTAGTAAGGCACTTGTTCCTAGTAGCTTCTTGTTACTACTAGTAAGGCACTTGTTACTAGTAGCGATGCACTTGTTCCTAGTAGGAGAGGAAGGTCCACATAAACCACCTTTTCGAGGATTGTGCCATCTGCTCTGAAACCACTGGATTCTGCGATTGAGGATCCTGTCGTGAGTCAAGGATAGGATGTTCGAAACCGGAACGATCAGACGTGAAAGAACGCAACTGCTGGTCTGTTTGGCCTTTGTTTGCCACTCCATGATTCTGAGACCTACTATGCTCCCCAGGTGTCGGGCTTGGCGGTGACGTGCACTTCCTGGGCTCGGATAGCCCAAAGACTGACCGATCGCACAGACCATTGAGAGATTGTTGAGATTGTTGCCAGAAAGGCCAAGGGCATCCATCCGCCAAATATGTCAAAAAACATCCACACCCATGTAGGAACCCAATGACTGTATCCAAAACACTTTGGAGCCATCCACGGTCCACAGTCAACGATATATCATACGCAGTAGAGCTACCAGAGACTGCCAGAGACAAACATGATGCAAGAGATGTAATGCAGTTTTACATATTGTTTTGGCATAATCATCAACCGATAGAACATGTTTAATTAGGCCCATGTTGAGTTTATTGCACACTGTTGTTCCATTTAAAGGATTCTGGTTCAAGCAAGCTCCCTCTCTTGTATTTCCCATGCTAGTACGTCATGCATGCCTAGAAATGCCGAAAGGCACCTTCTCTGAAACGGATTTCGTGGTTGGTGGATGGTCATGTACAACGATGCACTCGGGTGACGGTCCATGCGATTCCTCCTGGGCTGTCCAGTTTTCGTGGGGTCGCGGAAGCTCCCTGCATGGACAGCCTCTTAACCTGCAGCGCAATTCCTTTTTCATTGGGGTTGCTTGGTGCCAGGTGACAGATTGAAGTGTGGTCGATGCGGGTTAGCGGCGTGGCAAGTGCTCTTTATGTCACGGACAATCCGTTTTGGGGGCACAACTCCTTTGAGTAGGGCGTGTCTTAGCCTCGTTCGGAGTGATTAAAAGAACTATGTAGAAATAAGATGACATAAGCACAACTAGGCACTCAGACAAGAGTCCGAGGGGAACGTTGCCAGGCTGAGACCATCACCGGATCTCAGGCGAGGCGAACGATCTCCTCGAATCTCAACATCGGATGCTTCTTGTTTCTAGTAGTAACAAGTGCATCGCTAGTAGTAACAAGTGCCTTACTAGTAGTAACAAGAAGCTAGTAGAAACAATCAGCTAATAGCTTCTTGTTCCTAGTAGTAAGGCCAGGAGCCCTAGTAGCATCCTTGCTCCTAGTAGCGATGCCAGGCGCCCCTAGTAGCTTCTTGTTCCTGTGCACACTTATCGTGCCTGTCCAGTCATTTGCAGAGGTAGCGATCCTTGTTGCACAGTGGGATTCATCCAGGTTTCATGGAGAACTGCAGTAGGTTGGGATCAATGCAGGGAACTGGAGGCAAACACTAGCAGGATGGGTGGGTGAAAACTGAACAACCTGTAATATGTTCTTTCATTTTTTCCTTTTGTTTGAACATTAGTCTGTTACTCCCAGCTATGCATCTCCTTTGTGGGTCCACTTGCCAAGTATCAACATCTCTAAAATGCGGAGTCTTCCCAAACCACAGTGGAAGCAAGAACATATATATATATATAGACTCTAGACAATATGACAATACGGACACTGAACCATCCGAAACCATCTTAGACCTTTGTTTATGGCTATGGGATGTTCTCTTCTCACCAAGCCCGCCGCATCAAACCATCGGTATCCTCTGGACTGCCACCGCGCCGACGCTAGTCAGGCCTGGCTTTGGTCGGTGGTGGCTGCCTGTAGTCTGCCGGTGGACGTTGGGAAACCTGGTCTCATAATGATGCCTCATGGAGATGGAGGGTGAACCCCCATTGCTGGATACTTCACGGCAAAACTTTGGATTTTTAGGCTGGGGGGCAACACCCTACTCCCATCTACTCCCTACTTTGGTGACACTCCTGAAGGCGTCTGGAGGCACCAGTTTCGCTTTTCAATGCTTTTAGGACGCTTGTTAGACGTTTTCTTTTGACGCGTCGCGAGCGGTGCTCCGACGGCCAGAGGTTTGCAGCCGCCTGGAGAGTTGGTGCTCCGCGCGACAACGACCCCTCAGGCGACGAGTCAGACAGGACTTGCAAATGGGCACGAGCTGTCGTACAGTAAGCCCAGTAAGCCTATGGGCCCACTTGCAAAGTCATGCATGGAGGGTGAAGCACCAAACCCTGACATGTTTATTCCGCGCGGCAACTTGAAAGCTGTCAGATCATGCATCCAAGAAACAAGTTGCAGGAACAAAGCAGTCGCTTCTTGTTAGGGACAACTGACTGACCGCTTGTTGTGTGCTTCTTAGCACTGTCTCTGCCTTGTAGCTTCAGCTGCCAAGTTGCCACAGTTCATGATTGAACATTGCAAGTGCTACTAGCAAAGACTGTGTGAACAAATTCAAACTTCAATGTCGGTTTGCGAACCAAACACCTGCACAACGAAACCCATAAGGCTTGGTTCTAAGTAAGAACAAAGGCAAACAATCCCGCCATGGCTTACCACCGACCACTGGAGAACTATGACCCTAACGATGATCCATGGCGTTCACCGGACGATGACAACACTCCAACACAGGGAGCTATTCCGGGCTATGCCGCGGGACCAGTGAATCCCACACAAATGAACTACAGCACGCAAGGATGTGGGTTCAATGTGGGTGGTGGGCAAAACTTTGGCCAGCCGCTGATGCAGCAACAGATGTTCATGCCGCAGCAGCCTCAACCATATCCACAGAAAATCCCGCAAATGAGCGGTGAAGGCATGCAGTTTCAGCATTTGCAGCAACATCACTCACCTGTGCCTGATGTTGGCGGCATGCAACAGTGTGGCCAGGGATCTAATTTTCTGCAACACGCTCAACAGAGGTGTGCGTCCCCAATTCCGCAGCAGATGCAGATGCAGGCTCAGCAAATGCAGGCTCAGCAGATTCAGCCTCAGCAGATGCAGGCTCAGCAGATGCAGCCTCAGCAGATGCAG